GTTCAGAGGGAAGCAGACAGCCTTCACCACTTCTATTTCCATTGTTTGGATTTTCTTCCCAGGCAACAGCAAAGTGCCAAGGAGCTCACGTATGGATTCCATCCCAAAATAACACACGTCTGCTCCATGAAACTATTACAGATCACGGGACATTTTCAAAGTAATTTCTTTATTATTAATTTGGCAAGTGTTCTGCTTTCTCATAAGCCCATCCATTCCGCCGCCTTAACACCCCTCTCCCCCCTCTCTCCAATGTCGAAAGCACTAAAGCAAAATAAATACAGAGGCACACGCTGCCTGCAGCTCTACACATGCCACTGCACGAGCCCACGGAGGCTGCATAAAGACATATGAGGACAGACCGGAGCGGGCAGTGCCCACAGAGCTACGCCATTTGAAGTTACATTGGAAATAGCACCCATCGCCTCCTGGAACACCTCTGATGGGAAAAGGTACACAGCATTTTTAGACTAATAGTAGTGTTTTTTTCTCATTTGCCACCCGATACAACTGATCGTTATAAAGGGACCTTATATATAGCTAACCTAATAGACAAATCGTTTCAATCTTTTAACCTAGTCTACATAACATTTCCAGCTGTTTGCAACCACCAAATCAACCCAGCGTTCACAAATTTGAACATGCTGAAACATATCTTATATACATTTTTAAATCTAGAAATGGAAACAATCGATTGGTAATTCTTTTGCTTTGTTGTTCCTTTTGTTCTGTTGATCCTGTTTGGACACGGGATGTTAAAGTATATTAACAGTTTAAATTACATAATGCATACTAACACCATAAGATGCTTTAAAAGCAAACTGGAGCATGTAGCTATAAAGCAACTTAGTTGAACGCCTGTGATCAGTCAGCAGCAGAATTAGGATTAGAAACTGTGATGCCACATCCCCTGAGCTAGCCAGTAAACAACTCTGTGACAAAACAAAGCTACGACAGAAACCCCACATTGAGGATGAGAAGACTGGTGCAAAATGGCAAAAGCATCCCAAAGCCTACATGTTTAACATAAACGGCTATCCCAACCTTGCTGCAAAGCCAAAACCACAGAATAAAAGTAAATGCAAATACCTGTTTCCTGGATCTTGGGAACTGTCAGTAACAAGAGTGGATGGAACACCAACTTTTTCCATTATTTGCTTTAACTAGATGCGGTTTCTATTTAAACCCTACAGAGCTATGCGAGGTAATCCAGAGGGTGCCTAGAAGTGCTCACTCCAAGTTAAAAAATAGACACTAGGGCAATTTGGTGGCTCAGAGTCAACCTAGTTCTTGGTTAATTACAATCACGTTAAATGACAGTACTCCTCCAGAACAAATGACCTAGTGATTATCCTCTACCCGGAAAAGTCAACAAGTGCAGCATGAGGGAGGTGGCCTCACAACCACACACACGAAGGAAAAACCACCTAGCAGCTATGTGTCCATTTTATTTCTGAATTAAAATGTATGTTGCTAATAGTGCAGTGATGCAGTATCCTCTTACCAGTGACCTCTGCTAGAGAATGAATAACATCTAGCTTGTATATTAATTCATCTTTAGACCTCACCTCCAACAGGCGCCAACAATGTTGTATAACTAGGTTTGTGGCTTACAGCAACACTACCCAACTTGTAGTCTTAGTTAAAGCGATCAGAAATACTCTGAAAACATTAAACCACCCCTTTCCCCTCCCTATAGGTTTTTCAATTGTTGATGTTGCTTATACAGCCCTTTAGCACTACAGCATAGCATGCACTTCCATATTCTCAAGCTCCGCTTGCTTCCTCAGTAACCTCAACAGTCTAATTTCTCAGATGCTATACAAATTGATTCAAACACAAAGAAAAACCCATGGAGGAAAGCAGCTATAAATATTGATTTTGAGCATTCTTGCTTATGGCATGCAGAATTATTACAATACAGTCATTACACCCTGAGTCAGTATGCACTACACCAGTTAAACCAGTCTCAAAAGGGATTTCTGCCAACAGCATTACACATTGAGGATCCATCCATCAATATGATACAGTAAGTGAAACACCTGAAAAAACAGACTCCCGGAAAGAAAAAAATCACAGAAAATGAGTACTGAATGGTAACTTCAGAGCTCGTTTTTGAGAAAGTTTTCTAAAAGTTTAAAGCATATGAGAGCATTTTTAAGGTACATTATACTGCTTGGACTGGAAAATTTTCCCCTCGCTTTTTGTTGTTTCAACATTTACAATTCAAGCATACCATATCTGGTCTACTTCATGAGAGCCAGAAAGTGAAATCAATTGGTTTAACTATCTCCACTGATAATTAATTAAGCATGAAATAAATGAACAATGATACATCTTTTTTTTTACATTTCACACTTCAGAAAAGCACTAGTAGCAGCAATCAGAAAATCCCACTGAATGACTTCAAGCCCAAATAGGCCTCCAGCATGGAAGTAAGCATAGCTCCAGCCATGCTTATATCTGAATGTGGCACTGCTGCCAAATTCTTCCAGATAGGACCCATAAAATCACCGGGACAAGCTTACAGGTAAATAGTATTAAATTTGTTATTTTTATTGTGTTCCTAAATCACTTTGGATTTGCATCCTCAAGGATTTCTTTTTTTTTTTAAGCTGCTAAGATAAGAAGAGACAGAAAAACAGGCTTAAACAGAAAGAAGAGAAAGGACGGACTCAAACATTCACAATTCTAAGCCATCAGTCCTTCCTAGTGCACAACGAAGTAACCAGTGGTACATGAAAAAAAGAAACGTGAATCTCAATATCTTCAGTTTTCTACCTCTCTTTTTTATGAAATTGAGAGTGCTACAGCAATAACCAACAGTCAAAGCAAACTGGGATCTTACTGAAACAGCTTCACATCCTAAAAGAGATGGCTGTGACAAGCATACGTATCCTACATCTGAACAATTAATGAAATACTAAAAAAAAAGAAAAACAAAAAAAAAAACAACATGGAGAAATAACTTTGTTCCCACTCTGTCATTTAAAGCCTGCATTTATCTTTTAAGCAACAACACATCTGTTAGTACCAAGATCACAAAAACTACTAGAAATAGAAGTCTGACAACACTGCCTCTGGAATGAAGTTGTTTCAGATTCTTACAATACTGGATTGTTAAAATAACTCCCATGAAACTGGTACACTAAAGCCAGTAATAGCACAGATTTATACTACAGTCTTGGCACCGGGTTCTTTCATTCTCTCTCATGTTCCCTCCCTCTCCAAAGAGGACAGTAATTTCAAAAAGAAAACATGCCTCCCCTTAATGTATTTCAAATGCCATGCTTTCCATGAAAACCTGGAGAGTTAGCAACGTTTCTGCTCAACAAGTTTTGAACAAGACATTTCTAGGTTCAATAACTGAATATTTAAACTGTGAAAGACACCGATTTCAGACTACCTGATCCCAGCTCCTTTGAGAAACCCTCCTATATATGAGTGCATGCTCATTTACTGTGGGGAAATTGATTCTGGAAATACAGATTTTTTGCACGAGTAAGGGTTAACATGAAGAGTACTTAAATGTGTGAGCTCTTGAGGACAAGTGCTGCGTCCCTCAGATCTTGTACTACATTTAACAACCTGTCAGCACCTAACTACAGTTAACATTGAGCTAAGATTTAGGAAATAAATAAGCAGGCCTTACTCTGATTTCATTTACATCAGTCTAGATCAGAAGTAACACAACTAAAGTCCTAGGTAAAATTATGATACAAATTTGTCAATGACTTCAAGGTTAAGATTTTTGCAAGGGAGCAGTATAAAATTCATCTCTTTACATGCTATACATAGTTACATTAGGACTGTTCATATCTTGACAAACCAGCTGGCACAGAGACTTAAATAATGTCAACATTTAAGACATATACCCGAACATCCTTCAGTGGAAATTGGAAAGCTTCAGAAAGGCATCACAGGATCCATTACTCAGCCTTTTACATTGCAACTTGCACAATCTGGCCTATCATATCATGTTAAGGCATTTTTCTCTAATTAGATTCCATTTGGAGATTCAAAGATACCTAACACTTCTTAAGCATTTCCTCAGAAATACCACCATGTATGAATCACAAACGCAACATGGCATTTAAGCATGAGGTTGGGAAACTTGACATCTTTTTCTATTTCTGTATCAGATTTCCATCTCCCCAACTCCTGCTGAACACACTCTGATTATCATACTGCAGGACTTCTCAAATTAAACAAGCTAAAATTTGATGGTACACCTCCCACAGTCAGAATACTGACAACTACTAGATACTGTTGTTTTTAATGCTGTAACAGTCCAGACATCTGATGAAGATACAGACTGCATCCATCTTATGCTCAAGGCCTTGGACCTTGGAAGCTGTGGGCTGAATTCTTGGCTCAACCAAACATCCAATGTGATCTTGTGAAAACAATCTATTCTCTGTACCTTGATTCCTAAGTGATAAAATGAGAGCAACAACATTTATTTTATTCTGTAATCTTGTTTATTTAGATTGTAATATTTGTTTTTTTTTTTTTTTTTTTTTTTACAACAGAGGCACCTACCAGAGAAAAGGAGGCCAGGAGGCCAATATGTAGAGATACAATTCTCAAACACTCAATTTCTGCCCTATTTAATTCTTCATTATTTTTATTTGTGCGTTCCAGTGTCTAAGCTTATGCGCTCTCACTCTCTAATGCAATAATTAGTACAATATTTCTGTCACCTAGTATTTCTTGACTTCAAAGCTTCTATCCCAAAATTTAACCTGGAATTAATCTTTTGGCTACGTTCAAAAAGCACACCTTCACATGTATCTCACCTCTACTGTTTGTACATTCCCGCAGGCAAATACTGTGTTATATCCTAAAACATTTTCTACTAACACTTCTGGGGGTGGGAGGTGGGAATGACCTTTCAGTTTGTAACAGCTTGTAGAAAACAACAAGAAAGGTGAAGATTACATTTAGTTCATTCCCCTCTCTCTCAGCACATCAGCTGTGGAGCTCCAGGAAGGACTTACCGGTGATAGGCTTCCCGGCGGTACTTCTTCAGAGCATGCCCATCCATGTTTGCAGGGAGATCTGCTGCATTCTGGAGTCGGTCACTCCAGGAGGTTGTCATCTTTAAATGCTTCTTTATTTCTGAAAGAGCCAGAAGAGAAAATCTTTCTTAAATTCAAGATCTGTTTCACCAACAAGTTGTCTGTTTCCTGGTGCTAAGAGATGCAATGCTACTCAGGAAGTCTTGCGAAGTACCCAGTGGTACTTTGCCTTCCTGAGACGTCAGATGAGATAGGGAGCCAAGACAAGAGCAGGGAGGGCTCTTCCATGTGGCTGGAACTTTTAAGATATTCCTACCCACTGTGGTGAAAATGCTTTTAGAAACAAAGACCTTGTCCTCATTGCTGAAAAGTCACTTTTTTTTTTTCCTTTTTAAATCTTAGACTTACAAACATGCATAAGCTATAACTGTTGGAAAAGTTACCCTTTACACACGAGATAAATCAGGCAAAGTAAATCCTACAAACTCCAGCCAGCAGGACCAACCTCATCACATTTACCACAGTAAAAATGCAGAGCCTTTTCTCTGGCTTTGTTTCTTATTTGAACTCTGGGCAAAGACAGTACTTCAGACTGACACCAACTTAGCAGAAGAAACAGAAGGGAAGTATAAAGATTACCTTGTGTTCTCCGCAGGCCAAACCCATTAGGACAAAGCGAGAAGACACTCAAAACTGTACTGCTACCCATGCTGACATTCACAAACACCCGCAACCCTTCAAGAAGTGGTTGTCAAAACTAAACCTGAAGAAAGCTTCAGGAAGGCCATGCAATGAGGCTAGAGGGGTACACTCCCCCCTGTGTTATTCACATGCTGGTGGGAGATGTGTCCCATGGGGACATCAGATGAGGCACAACACAAAACTGCAGCTCTGTGTAATTGTGCAGCCAGGCTGCAGGGCTTGCCTTGTTTACTCTTCCTTAAAAGAAACACAACTACCCACAAATTAGATGAGTAATGACACTGTAACCATCTCTAGACACCTTTAAAAGAAGCCTGCCCTTGTTCCACAGAAGGAAAACGTGATTTCAGCAAAGCAGAGAGCACAGCATGTGGTCACGTTATGACTTGAAGTCATTGTGCTTGGGTGTGCTCGCTCTCCTAGAGACAATCTGTATCATTTTTTAATTTTAATTTTGATTAAAGACCAACAGCTGTGATCATCACAGCATCTGTTAGTGCATTCGCCTACTATTTGTTGGTCATAAAAATCAAACAGGAGGCAAATAGCTTGGCTGTAAAGAATACGTTCCTCCCTCCCCCAGCATTCCCTACCCGTCTCTCAGTTACTATAAGCAACGTTTACAAACGCATCTGATGCCACATCCTAAAGGTCACCAAATTTAGGCCCTGGCAGGCAGCCACAGGGATGCATTCCTGTGCTGAGAGCTGCCTGCCACCAATTCCCCACAGCACCCCCAGGGAGGAGGTCAGCGCAGCCAGAGGGACACGAACACGTCAGCCAACCACAGCTTCCACAACAGGGCATGCAGGGAGACACAGCTTCTAAAATAGCCCAAACCCAGGCCGCTAAGGGCTTATGAGCAATTACCAGCAATTTAAGCAGTGCCCAAAGGCACTAAGGGAATGAACAGCCTGTGAGCATCAACCTGTTTCTCTTCAAAGCGGGGCACTGTGCCCACAGCACTGCCTGCCAGGGGCTTTCTGCAGCAGCCCTGCTGGAGGAGAAGACTTAGGGAGTGCAAGGCCCACACAACGACAGGCCTCAGGATCTTGTGGGACCCCCATACTGAAAGACACAGAAGGCTTATGTCTTCAGAAGGTGGAAAATAGGCTACCCCATAAACATTTTGAGATGGTTTATATCACCACCACTGTGGTCTTACTGGAGCTATTGTAAAGCTACTGACCTTGAGCTGTGGATTCAGATCTAAAAGATATCCGTGTTCAAGGCCTCTAAAAGGAAAGTCAAATAGCTCTACAAAACTGTTGCATGGTTGGCTGTGAGATCTTGGTCTGCCAGCTGAATGCAAACTGCCCACCAAAATCTGAAGACTTACATCAATGGCCAAAATCAGAACCGTTCCATTATGCTAGCTACTTCCCACTTCATCTGCTTCCCATCACTATCACATCACATTAAACATAGATGCTGACACAGGCGCTAAGATAGGACTGTACGCAACAGCCATCCATGCCACACATCTGATAGCTCCCCAACAGCATCTCACAAAGAATTCTAGAGCCCACATGGTAAAAGATTATTAGCAGGTTACCTTTGTCAGTGTTCTTTCTAAAATGAGAAGTCAGTGAAGCAGTCTGAGCTCCCGTGTGAAACCCTCTTCTACGCAGGGGAGATCAGACAGAATTGTACTGAGTGTTAGGATTCAAAAATCCAAGCCTTGAGGAAGCCACAAAAATCTGAGTTTCCACAGTTAAGCAAGAAAGACATGGATTATTTTAATGTTCCAGCAGTTATTTTTCTGTAGCTGTGATGAATAGAGTTCAAAGGGAGGACAAGGTCTGTAGACAGAGGCAATATCTTTTATTAGACCAACTGGTATGGCTGGAAAAAATAGATGAGCTCTTGGGCATACAAGCTTGTCTAAATTTTCAAAGTCTATCAGTTGCTCTAATAAAAGACATTACTTCTGCCTTCAGGCATTGCTGATTTATTTACTAAAATTGTTGTTTTAATGTCCACAAAGCATAAAAATAAAAAAATATATTGCTGAAGTTTTGCATTACATAAACTCAAAGGCACTCTTACAGCTTAGCAGGCTGCACTGGAGCTCTGATGATAGCTTACTGCTCTGAAATAAAACACCAATTACATACAAATTATATTGTGATGCCTCTTCACCACCTAGAAACTCCACTCACACAACAAGTCTTACTGACTTGAATGAAATTGTTCCAGTGCTCCAAGGTACCAAAACCAGCCTACCTGAGAGGGCAAAAGGCATGGGACCTGATCCCTGAATACAAATATTCCTCTTTGCAGTAGTGCCAAATACAGAGAGAAAAATAAGAAGGGGTGAATCACTCCATACACTCGTAAGCCACAGGAATAAACATCTAAGAGAGCAGGCAGCTAGCCAGGCAAGATCCTAAACTCCAAGTAACTGAAATACGATGCATCTTTCTTTAGTTACAGATCTATTTTTGAAATCAATAACCTGTAAATAGCTTCACATAAAAATAGAAATCTTTACATAGATGAAGCATGTTAGAACATCTCCCTATAATTTATGGCAAACATGCTCCTTGCTGTTGCAGTCTTAATTAAACATCTGATAGTGTTTAGGGTGCAGGGTTCATTTTGAAAAAGTATTTTAAAACCCCACGTCAATGCTTTGGCACAGAGCTACTATCCATTACATATGCTTTTGTCCAAAAGAACATGAGATTTTCAACACATATTTTGTAAGAAATTAATTCGCTTCTTTTGTTAAGCCTCAGGTGATTTTAAGAATCACGGATAGTGTATTTCTTTCACAAGTTAAATAACAAGCACATAGGCACTCCCCTTCAAGGAGTTTGACGAGTTAATTTCCTCATCTTTTTTGGCCAATGGTTAGAAATTTCTGCACCTCATAATACCTGATGTGTTTGGGTTAAATACACCACTTGTATTTTTTTCTTAGTTTGTTTTCAACACTTGGATGATGCAATGCCAAATCAGAGGCATACACACCAAAATGTAGGGATAAATAAAATAGCAGTGACGAGTCCACTCTTTCCAGGATCCTGTCCAAGAGCTTATGGAGCAGAAAACAAACCCACAGCAAACCAATCCCAAGACACCAATTTGCCACGTGCTACATCTGTCCTTTTCTCACACATGCTGCTTTAGGAATCCTTGGTATCTTGTCAGCACGACCCACACGCGTACGTGCACGTGGGCAAAGTGAACGGGGACATAAATGATCACAGCTAAGGTTTGATACATAAAGGCTTTGGCCCGAGGCAGTGATACACAGAGCTCCTGGTGCCTTGCCAAGCCTACAAGAGGTTCCTGACCCCTGGCTGCAAGGCTACTTTCTCCCAGGTGACCTGGGGATCTCAGCAAGGGGGGAGTTAATGGTCCTGTGAAAGGGGAAAAGGAAAGGAAGGAGGATTGAGGTTGGTTCCGTCAAAGCACAGTTCAAATTCCAGGCTCAGGTCATAGCACAGCCTCACAAATTGAGAATGAGAAGGGAAAGGCACTTGCCTGCTGAGAGGTCTGTCCATGTCACTGGGTTCAGAACGAGCAGCTTGTTTGCCAGGAGCATCCTTCTCCCTCCACTTAGCACAGAATTAACTTGCATCTACGTCAAGCTTAGACTAGACACTTTGGACAACTAGCATCAGAGATGAAGCCCACTCAGGTGAGCACCATATCCCCCAGTCCTCTGGAACATCTAACTACTTGGGATGGAGAGCCTGCAGGAAGCGGCCCAGACTCCGTAATCCCTCGAAGTGGCACCTCCTGCTTCACCATGAGGGCAGGGCCTCATGCCTGCCATCCCAGAGCTCTCTGCAAACTCTCTTCCACTGTAAACACATTTAGGGACAGTCAAGGGTGCTGTCCCCATTTTGTCAGCTACAGATAGCAGGGCATAGAACAGCATAGGGCAGGGAACAACCCTCAAACCTTCCACAAGCTCCAGCTCAGGGTATCACAAACACACTGAAGCCCTGGAGGTGTTCAAGGCCAGGCTAAATGGGGTCCTGAGCCCTGATCTGGTGCATGATGCAGTGGCTGGCAACCCTGCTTGTGACAGGGGGTTGGAACTAGATGATATTCGAGGTCCCTTCCAATCCAACCATTCTATCATTCTGTGTTGTAGCAAATTTCTGACACACCTCAGGGCTGCCAGGAAGCAAAGTAACAAAGAATTTCTAGAAACAAAAGTGCCGACTAAGGAGAAAAAAATCCAGTGGGTGGCATTTCTGAAACCCAGGGGAACTATTCATGTGAGCTCAATACTGAAATCTCTACTCACATTCTGCTTAGGAAGAACAATACAGAGAAATGGGTGGAGATATGGGAGGACTTCCCAGTACGTATTATAACGTTCCTGATAACTCAGAACTAGCCGGTCCCAGATGTACAGAAGTCAGAATGATCACAGCACCCAGAAGTATCAACAAACCAAACTGGAGAACACGATAAATGGCTCCTCCAGCTCCTACCAGTACAAAGCAAAATAAAAGAAAAAATAATCTTGTGGCAAACTAATCTGCAAAGTTTGGTGGAGGTGTCACTTTAGGAGAGCTAAGGACAATGAAAAGTTTTTAAAGTATAATAAAAACAAGAAAAATTTACCAAGGGAGCAGATTTATTATGGACCAAAGAACAGGAATAATGTAGGAGGGGTAGAATTCTTCAGGAAATATCTCTGGTAGCGTTTTAAAAAAGAGTGATAGTGCATTAAACTCTTAATAATAACTAAGATCATTAACTTTGCAACGAAAGAGCATTTTAAACAATACACAACAGAGAGACATTTTACAGCAGCCAGACTGATAAAGCCTCCCAAGGAATTCTAAAAGAATTAGCCAAATACATTTTAGGCTATGTTAGCTTCACCTGATGCCTAACCTAGGAAATGTAGTGAAAAGTGCAATTCTTTGATTCATATAGAATTAGAAGACAAAAGTACAGCCAGTCTAGGTCAGGACATCAGTAACATTATGTATCTAGTTCAAATTCTTGAGGACTGAGAATTCTCTTACCCACACACAGCAGACCTGTGCACGGATGACATGGATGCTGAATGACGCTCCACTCCTCTGACCAGCAGCCCTATACAGCAGCTCTGCTGTGAGTTCACACAGCTCCTTCCTGTCCCCAACAGCTTGGGGATAACTGAACCCACACCATGTGCTACCGTCAGCACTTCAGCTTACAGCCAATGGCAAATCACTTCCAAAAGGTGTTTCCAAATGGTAACTTGTATGCCCTAGACTTGAAATATCTGGCAACACTGAAAAGCCCACAGTCTCCAAGTAGTGATGTTTGTAAGCAATATGAACAAGCAAATATACTTTTTATTTTTCTGTTTGTGTCTAAAGGTAAGTTATTCATTTGAAGAATGTAATGCATATGTGCGTCTTTGACATTGTAGCTTCAGGTTCATGATGGCAGGAAAGGACAAGATAGGTTCTTCCTATTTGAATTCTAAATTACTTCTAAAAGAAAACTTGAGTAAACTTTGAAGTTAACTGAACTTGAGGTAGGCTTTCAGAATGGTAACTGTATGGGCATGACATGGTACTAAAGAGGTAGAGATCTGCTGTTAAGAACCTATTAATAATAAATACAGATGCACTCACTTGTGGTTTATTAAAAAAACTATTATATCCTATTAGATTCATAATGCTGCCCTTACTCCATGGATTGCACTGATCTTCCCATCCCTACCTTTCCCTTTCAGATACCAGCTTTTCCCTATTTTCCCTCTGCAGGATGTTTCCCCTGTGCTCTAACACAGAACTGACTTCAATGATGCTGCATTTTCAAGAGAGTGCTTTTAGAGAAACTGGAAAAGCATTTCCAGTTGTACATTTACCTGACTACAGTCTGATTGATAGATGACAGTATTTCATGGGTTATTTCTGAATGGGAAATGTATAAGAAGGCAGAATGCTGCTTGTGTGGCTTGTTAAAGGATTTCATTTAATTCCAGGCTGAATTTTGTCATGAATCTGCATGTTAAAGTAAAGGCTATATAACAATAAAGTACAATATATTTAACAAACCTCTGTCTTATTTCACAGGAGTATTTTTCATCAGACTATTTCAAGTGACAATCATATCCACAGGGTGCCTGTACCATGCTTTGAGCCCCAGTAATAATCCAGTAAGCAAAAATGTATTAGAAGCAGTAAAAAATGTAGAATAGATAAACTGGGAGGCTTTAGGGTTATCATCCATTTCTAACCAAGCAGTTCTGCTCATTCAGGAACTTCAAAGAGCAAGAGTCAATTTAAAATATTCTCATTATTTTAAATAGGACTTAATTATCATCAATTTCAGGGTTGATTAGAAAGGAGTTCAGAAAAATACTCTGAAATCCACAGTGCTCTGTAAGGAGCAAACCTCAAATCTGACCCTCTCTGACTATCAAGAGACAATCTATTCACCTGAATCATCTGTAATTGAGTTTACTACCTTAAAATGGATACCACAAATTCTCCAGTAAGCTAATGAGAACATTCTCCAGCTTCCGCACAGCTCTTGCTTCTCAGTATCTCCTGCAGAGTGGCCTTTTTTTAGTCAAGTTACTTTCAACATGCTGCTCATTATATCAGCAATTTGCCAGAGGTAGTGCCAGCTCTCCCTCTCTCTGAGCCCAGCGTGGCCAGTATTGTCCCACCACTAGAAAAAAAGAAGGCAGAGTACACTTAAGGAATGCAAGACTTGATCCAGAAAAGCAAGAGCCATGCCATGGAGAACCAAAAATTAACACAAAGTCTCAAAGAAATGCTGGGACTGCAGATCAAATCTGATCCTTGGATACACAAGGGCTCCAAGTAGGAATCTATGTGCCTGTCACTGCAACAAACACTGCTGGAAGACTGTCTTCAGCCACCTGTCCCATTTAAGAGCAATATATTATACTGTGATTACACTGAGGAAGGAATAAAGCTACGAGAGAAAGACTGGAGTGGAATAAGAGGCTGAGACACCAGCAATCTTGAGGGGAAACCTCCAAGGTTTCACCTGGAGAGAAGGTGAATGGACAAACAAAGGCTCATCTTGGGCCACTCACTTCCTTAAGAGGCTTTATGCAGGAAAAGAGCCCAACAGCCTGCAGCAACCACAGCTGCAGAGGTTCCCAAGCTGTTGTCCAATTGACCACCTGCCAACAGCAAGCATGGACCTGGCTAATAACATCATGTTCTAACTGCTGCTTGTTTCCAGCTGTTACATTCCAGTAAGAAACCCAGAAGATAGTTCAAATACTTTGCTCACGCTGTTTTTCATGTAAGCAATTGCTTTAGTTGCACAAGATCTTAAAAAGTTGAAATCTAGAGGTGAATTTGATCTCTCTGCTGTGATAAAGTCTATCTTAAAGGAAATATTTAGGGATTCCCATGTGTATGTTTTAGCTTAAAACTGAGAGGCAAGCTTTGATGCAGAGCCCACTATAATGGGGATTCCGTGTCTGACATCTGCAGATCCTGATTTTATTACTACAAAGATGAAGCACAACAGAGTGCTAGCTGAGCTGCAGATTAACACAAATAGCACGAAAGGCAGAAATGTCAGCACAGAAATGAACATACTGAATTCCACAAATCAAAAAGGAAAGCCAAAATAAACTTTTCTATTCTATCTCTACTGCTTTGCTTCAGAACAATCTGAAACATTGTACGTACAGTGATCTTATTTACTAACAATCTGTTTTATTAACAAGCACTACTTCTATGAAACACCCTTGGTGTTCAAACTTGTGTAAGAAGCTGCTACCGGATCATGATGGCTCAATCATATGAGTTTGTGACTCGCAAAGAGAGTGAGCAAGACGAGATGTGCCATCCCCAGTGAGAAAACTGGAAGCCATCACTCCACATACCAATTTCAGACCAAGCAACAACTGCCACTCCAACCTGCTAATAGGGATTATACAACAGCAACTCCTTTGGCGGCAGATGACGGTATTTCAAGACAATGATGCTTTTCATTCGATTCTGCTGTGTCTCAGGAAGCAAGTACAGCCTTAATGAGCCCTTCCAGCAGTGTGGTGGTAAAAACAAAGTATTTGAGTTGCAAAGCTCAGATCAGGCACACAGTCATTCTGAAAGTATGCAACTGGGTCAGCTTGGATAACGCAAACAGCCAAAAGCCCTCTCTCTCTTCTAAACGTGGAAGGTGAGGGAGGACAACATTTTTATTGGCTTCCCTTACTGACAGTGCTTACTGGCATAAGAAAAACAAGACACCTCTTGTCTTTGAAGAGTGTGGTCCCTGCTTCATTAATATGTTATAGAAAAAAGCAAAGATCCTGAAAGCTTATTCTGACTTTTTTTTCTAATCTTTCAAAGTGGAAGGGAAAACAAGGATGATTTTTAAAAGACACTTGAACTCTCTTCCATTGTACATGTTTACAGACTGCAAAAGCAGATGCAACAGCAGAATCAGCAGCTGAACCATCTCTGCAGCCTGGAGACTGTTCCCATCTCTGCGGGCTGGAATCTATCCCTGCCCAGCCCAGGTGCAGTGAGCCAGCTGGCTGCTCCACACCGGTCCCACGGGCATTGCATGCAGCACAAGCCCAGGGACGTGCTGCTCAGCAAAGAAGCTGGCGCACTTCAACTTTCTTTCATAAAGTTACTGAAAATAAACGCTGAGATCAACAGCTAAAATGACTTGGTAATCTCAAGAGTTGCCCTGTCAAAATCAGTTAGAACTCTTTTTTTCCCCACTGCTACCTGTTCTGTTTTCTAGCACCATTCCCTGCATCCCCACTTACATATAAATTTGGTCTCTCCTTCTGAGATCTTACCTATCAATAACACGCAGAGCAGCCACAAGGCAAGTAGTGTGAAGTCTGAAGGTGTTTCAAAGTTCTTCTAGCAGTGCAGTTCCCCTCTGCATACAGAGAGCACAATTCGTTCCTTTTTTGACCTGTTTTTTTAATCAGAGGCAAATGTAGTAATTATAGTCTGTGTGATTGCAAATGAAATTACAAACCTATCCTTAGGGCACAGTAGTGCCCCCACCTACACGTTATCGGCCCCCAAATCTCATTTAATCTTGACAGATATGTAGTACTGAGGCATCACTTCAGGAAACTCTGCGAGTAAATCAATTTTATGAACATCTTCTCTGCAGTATTCCTATGCTCTTCCAAAAGTCTGCTAATTCATACAGCGTTTCTTATGCAACCTGTGTAACTCAATTCATCAGCAAAGTAACCCAACACCTCTGATGACTGAGTTTCTGCTCAGTCTCTGGCTTTCCTATGATAACGTAACTGTCTCAGCTTTATCAACTGATATCAAAGGCCTACATTATACTGTTCTCTAACAGTATGAACTTCTTTCTTTTCTTCACAAACTTTTTGCAACCCTGCCCAAGCACAACACAGAACACTACATTCATTTGGGGAAAACAAAACCAGACTTCCATGGACCCTTCAGCTCACTAGTTTTTAATACACCAAATCAATCCTGCTGACGCAGGAGATTGCTCCCTGGCAGGAGCTGAGGAGGGTACACACAGTGTTCTCCCTGTACTTGTCCCAGCACAGGCTGCGTTCAGAGAGAACACAGATGAAGCAACAAATCCACTCCTGCAGCTGTGACCTGGAAGAAACGTTCCAGCCTGAACGATGAGAGAACATTAAAAGAGAACTTTGGCGATTTGTTACCCCAAAAATCAGAGCTGAGAGTTACCAACACTGAACCCTCCTTTGGGCCATGACTTCTCTCTCTGGGGAACATGAAGTAACTTGTTAGTGGAGACTAGAAGACCCACAACATTGGGCTTTGGAAAGACAACTCTCTGCGTGTCCTACCCTCACCAACTATTTGTTCTCAACACTAGAACACATACATTTATAAAGACTGCAAGTGTTTTTTATTACTTTGTTAATATTTACCTGCTACAAGGCTGTGAAGAAAAATGAGCAGCAGATGAATAAAACTTTGTTGAGTTTTATCATCCCTTCCCTCATGATTGCTCAAGCATAGCTAGCAGATTTCTTGGCCTTCGTTCATCAAACTGTCAGTGCAATATTGCAAGAGAAGTTACAATACACGTAACAGAAGAGGTTAAGAACCTGCCTAATCTATTGCCAAGGCAAAGGAAAATAGGAAAAGTTAGACCACAAATGTGTTTTTAAAAAACTCTTAGGAAGGCCACACTGTTATTTCCCTGAATCAGAACCGATAGAAATCCCCAGCTTATTGAACACTACATGCTATTATTTCATCTCAGATCACAGCAAGTAACACTCTTCCCAGTTTGTACAAAATTTGCTCAAAAATATTACACACATCTGCTAATGATTCCAGCACCAGACATTTTTCTGAACATACTCATGTTCTATGAAACTACTCCACTTCAGTGCTACAATCAGAAGGTATGAAGAAACACTGGAACATGCATAATGCACATTCTACCCAGCATGACTGCAGTCACCAAACAGTAACAGTACAGGTAAGCTAAATTTCTTGACTAAAAAGGATTTAGTAAAAGATCTACTGGTACACTAGTCATTGCTTAGCATTGACACTTCAGGGCAGGGAAGGCATTTTGAAGAACTGAGCAGAGGGATTCTGTGTCTACTTACTTGAATCATCCAGAGATTTAATTAGCAAACCTCCATTTTTATCATTTTTATCATTTTTTCCTTAACAGTTCTACTTGCTGGCAGCCCTGCTTTGCATTACAGGAAAAGAAATGCCTCTTGAGCACTCTTCCTCTTCAGAGATACCCCATTAACATGTGTTCGGCTTTCAGCAACAATTTCTTTTTTTTTTTTTCCTCTTCTTTTTTTTAAACAAAGGAAATGTGGAAATGCAGTACCCAGCCCTAAACACTCAAAGACACAGAGCAGGTACTTTCCTGGTCCCTTAAACACCACTAGTGCACCAACTGACAGACGCTTGCAATCTGAAGTGGAAACTGAAATCTGATTCCTGCCTCAGTTTCCAAACAGCAGAACGAACAGATGATTTACCAGTCTGGCTTGCTTCTATCTTCAATTCCTCTTTCCAACACCACTCAGCCACTTGGATTACAATGATGGCAAAGCTACAGGAACTGAACTAGAAGGGTAGTTTCCAGGGTCAGGTTCATGCTAACGGGTGCTCAGGGCACCTGAAATTTATATTCAACTAATTGGTTTTCTTCAGGGAATGAACTCATCCCAACCTAGCAGCACATAAATAGAACAACATGAAATGAGTTGAAATGAACAAGCAGTGAAAAAGAAACAACTATGCAAATACTACAGGTATCTATACTGAAAGACTCCCAGTGAACACTGTAACATGTCAGAAAGCACATGATTTAACCAGAACACTCAGGACTAATCCTCACAGTCATCTACTGTGACTTCAAAAGACACATCTTCGCACAGTCTTGAGACAGAATGGCTTTGTAATATCCAAATGAGTGAGTTGCAAACATCAAACATAAGCAGCTCTTCCTTAGAATAATAATAATAAAAGGATAAAAACCTATCTCGAAGAAAAGTAAGAACACCAACATCCAGAAAGATTATTTGCTTTGAACTGCAACTGGTTCCACTTCACGACTTCCAAAATTACCTGCACTTACCCTTTCATGCTACTACTGGCGATGGCTGTGTTATGTTTACAGAGCAGTGGCATACATCTCACTCAGCACTTCTTTGGGTTTCTGAGGGCAGAACATTCACATGCTCTCCTCTGACCCCACGTTCCTAATCGTTGCTGTCTATGTCTACATGCAACTCGTCGCCAGCTGAACCAGCCCAAACACCAGCTGAATTCAGCTGGCGTTGGGATTTTGGCATGCTTTATACTAAGCCATCAGTCTTCTCTCTTTGGAATTTACTTTCTGTTCTAGGTTATTTCAGAAGCTGAATAGAAAGCTCATCTTGTTATATGCCATGGCCAGATGTGCTACATTTGACAGAAGAGCTCAATCCAAGCAGTAACACCTGAGTTGATTGCTACAAGTTACTACTGTTCTACAAAGGAGATGAAGAATACCAATTTAAGCTGCAAACCCTACCTCAACAGCAACCCACTTCCTCTTGAACCGGATGCACAAAGCAGAGATGCAGCTGCTGTTACTGCAGCAGTGCAGGCAGCCGTTGCTGCCTGGGGAAAGGCAGCAGCTCACCCAAGAAAGGGGCAACCCACTCAGTAGGTCCCACAGCCCAGAGCTGGCTTGCACGGCTGCCAAAGCTGGACCATCCTGGATGGAAAAAGATTTTTTGGAAATGCACCTTCACAGCGGATTCGGCGAGAATTTGTTTCCTGAAAAATCCAGCAATAATGTGTCTCAAGTGTTTTATGTATTATGCCAATGTTAACACAGAGAAGTACAAGGCCTGGGTCAAAGCCAGTTAATCCAAAGGGCTGTTCTTAAGTAAACAGTGGAAAACCACTCTACTCCAGAGCCTCTCATAGAAACGCACACAGGAAGCCTCTCTTCCCCCTTCCGCTGAACCAAATGTGCCAAGTAAGTTAAATGATAATGTAGTAGTAAGCATATGTGCAAAATAGTAGGCCTTTGTTTGAAAATATCTGGACCACAGCTGGGAGTTGTGAATAGTCTGTAACTAAATTAAGGTAAGTTTAGAATGCATAATGACCTCAACCTTTGTTGAAGGAGCCTTTGTTTTTAAACAAATTGCAAGTGGTAAGATGAGAGGGAGTGGTAGTTTTGGACACTGAGACTTCTCTATTACAGTTTAAGTACATCACAAGCAGCACTAGGGTACACTGTCCCCACACATCCGTCCAACTTACTTCACTTTGATGCCACCTACCAATCTCTAAAGATTGACAACTGACTGGGCCTCCCTCTCTTCTTCTATTGCTCTACAGAAGCAGCGCATCCTTTATTTTCAAAAGAGAAATGAACAGACCATTCATGTCCCAGCATCACCACTACAGGTATATTTCATTACTGCAATTCCTGCTCTCCACGTTTAATGCACCTCACACCTTTGCAGAATTTAAAGAGGTTTCCACTGGTAAGAGGCACAGGATAAGAACCCGCCTGCCTTCTTTACTTGCACGTTAACAGAAAGCAGCATACAAACAAGCTCAGTGGGGTTTCCAACTTCCCTGGCTCAGACAGAACTTTCTCCCCGATGAAACTACCAAAAAAGGGCTGGCTGTGCTGGTAAAGCCCGCAGCAGGTATTCACGCCCTGAGAATGATAAGTGAGGGTCACCGCAAGCAACAAGTTCAGCCTCTGCCATTCTGCACCGGACTTGAAAAAGTGACAGGAGCGCGAGGGCTGGCATGCAGCCATCAGTGCTCACACACGTGGGGACCCAAGCATTCAGGAAGTAAGAGCAGGTCGGCTCCCGGCCTTACCGTAAGGAGCACACACTGCTAGACGTTTGGGCAGTTGTCAGATTTGACAGATGGGGGTTTTTAGGCTGAATTACTCAGGCTCCCTTCTTGATCCTGCACCATCATATGAAGGTAAGTACTTCCCCCATCACAGCTTTGCATGCCCAGGTCTCCCAAGCACCTTTTTAGCCGTGCAAAGACATTCATAACACTTAGTAACTACCCTCATGTAGCCAGGTTTGGATTAGCAATTGCTTACAGTGGCTACCTGAAATACCTACGCAATGTTTTCCAGATGTTGCTTAAGGTCTATTTACTGTACATTAAGTTCTATTTATTGTGCACACTGGATTGTCTCTGCGGTTGTGTTAAGCGGAGTCATGTTATACGCACTCTCTATGCAGAGTACACAGTCCAAGGTTTTAGGAACCATTCCAGTAAACGAGTCATAGTGATTAAAAAGCAAAATACAGATCACTGCTATGAGCATCATAATATGACACATAAGAGTAATTTCTTTAGAAGTACGAAACAGATGTTTTAGAGTAAGAAATATTTATATGAATGCACACTTTGCAAATATGTGAAGATGTGTTTAAACACAGAACAGCCAGCTCTTAGACTTAGATCGCAGCCATTTCACATGTTTGTGATGCTGACATAAGAAATAAAATTTAAAAAATAGATGGAGTACAGACAATAAGCAAAGAATTCCCACGCGGTGACTTAGTAACATCTCATCCCAAAGAGCCAGACAAGACTTCCACTCCGGGCACATTCTGTTCAGTTTTCCATCCCATTATTCGTATTGCTAAAAAAACCACAGCTGTTTTCTATCAGGACACCCACGTTGGCAAGCCATCCCAAGGCAACGGCGCAGAACAGGCTCTGTGATCTCATCCCAAGGGGCAGCACTTGGGCTGTCCTCAGCTTCCCTCAGGGTAGAGCCCATGTGCCTGTTCCCTCCATGGCTCTGTGCAGGGTGGCACACCGGCCCTTCTTATCCCGAGGTGATTAGTTACAGAGGTGAGCTTTTAATGGACTGAAGACAAGGCATGGCCCTGCCAAACAGCAAGCCAGTTCCTATGACAACTTTCCACTGCAGCCTGGCTGGAGACCATTAACCCACCTTCCTCAGGCCACGTAGCTCCTACACAGTAATGCTTCTGTGGATCATTACAGACCTCCACAGGACTTCCGGCAGTGTCCAAGCAATGGCAGGTTGCATTGTACCGAGCTATCCCGCTCCCACAGCATTCCCTCATTTTCAATTGATACAAGAGAAGAGGTTTGCTGAGCACACCCACTTTTGTCTCTCACTCACCATTTTCTGGGCAGAGCTGCAGCCAGCCCTTCTTCCTGCACCTCCTTGTGAGTCAGAATCCACAACCCATGCGGGACTCAAAGGCTGTGGATCAGCTCACTTTGCCCCAGGGAACCAGCAGCCTACCCTGCTGCCAGCCCCAGGCCATCTCCTGATAACAGCTCTCTGCAAACTAACAAGCCACATTTCATTTTTTAACTGAAGCATTATTTTATTAAGCTGAATCACAAATCACAAGTAGGAGGCGAGCAAATAAACCTATCTGCTTTTTCTATAAGCACCATTTAAACATCATATTTAAAGAGTCTGTTTCCTTTTTACTTGAGATGCACGAATAACATGTGTAATTTTTAAGGGAAATACAACATTCCTCTCAGAGTTTTCCTAAAGATTACAATACTGCAGTGTTTACCAGTAAACTTCAAACTGAGGTTTCTGTTTTTTTCAAAAACAAACATACCCCGTGATGTTAAGAAAGCGTAGGACAAATATTTCTAGTTGTTTTAGGAAGGGTTTATCAACTTTCAAGTCATACTGGGAATCAAACATTGCAAATGGTAACAACTAAAGGGCTTCTCTTTTTGTTACTATTAGGAGTTGCCTATAAATTGGAAACTTGCCTGAAAAAATTTCAGCTTGCATCTGATTTTTTTGCTAGCGTATATCCTAGAAACAGCGTATATAACACTAATGCAACCAAAGCAAATGTACTAACAGGCTCTAAATTTCAAACCTCAGCTGAAAACAGTTGTCCCATTCTTACAGTTTTTCTCCCCATTTGTCTCTGCAATTGTACTTCACTCAATGGAGCATTTTAAAAGTAATTCAGCGGTGCATTTTGCAATACAGTTTGCTTGAATGACGCTATACAGAGTAAAGGTTGTATTGTACTATATAATGAAACAACGTCCATGCTTGAACAAACTCCAACTGCTGTTAATCAAACCAGCAAGTTCCTGAACGGTCTTTTGGAGTCAGGACTAATGGCAATAGATTATTTTAAATAGCAGCCCTGCTCTAAAGCATGTTTAGGTTGACACAGGCTGACGGGTTCTGACGGACCCCACAGCCAGGCTGACCAGCTCGCAGTTAAAACACAACGCTTTGCCCTCTGTGCCATCACGACAAATGCAGCGTACAACCTGAAGATCAACACGTAGCTTTGAGGTTTGCTTCTGGTTTTCAGCAAAGCCACGCAGCACCTGAGAAGGCTCGTAAGTCTTCCTATCCCCCATCCGTTCACTAGTCACCACGTACCGCCCAGTCCTGAAAGCAAACAGCTGGATGGATCAACGGAATCATAGAATCGTTAGGGTCAGAACAGACCCCTCAGATCGTCTGGTTCGACTGCCGACACGGCGCGTCTGAGCCAGCGATAAGCTGTTGTTCTCAACTGAGGCAGGCAGGTAAGGCTACACCTTCGTACACAGAAAGCGCGCCGCAATCTTTGCGGTTTAGATCCTCCAGAACTGACAAAAAAATAAAAACTTTTCCAAAGTCACCACGCCTCGGGGACAACGTTCTCAAGGCCGTTTCCGAGAGGCTCGCGGGCATCCAGCCGGCAGCCCCGTGAAAGCCAGCAGCGGGACGAACGCGAGCGCTTCACCGCCCCGCAGCCCAGGAACGCCTAAAACACCCTGCACGGCACGAAGCCGCGCCGCCTGCCTCGGCACCCAGGAAAACGGAGGGAACGCTTCCACCGAACGTCGTGCGGCACAACACAGAGGCACGAGCACGGCTCAAGCCAAGCAGCCGCGTGCTGCTCGGGCTCCGCCGCCGCTGCGGCCGCGGTCGGAGGGGCGGCGCGGGGCTCAGCCCGCCGCAGGGCGTCCCGCACCCGCGGGGTGAGGCGACTCAGAGCGGCTCGGGACGGGAAGGCGGCAGCGGGGCCGCCGGGTGCCTCCCCTCAGCGGCCGAAGGGGAAGTGCCTCGGGCGCTTCCACTGCCGGAGCTCCGCTCTCGGCGCTCCCCCTCCGCACAGAGCCCCCTCCCCGGCTGCGCGCCCGAGAGGAGCGGCTCCCCCCGCCCGTTTCCCTCCCCCCCCCACCACCCGATTCCGAACGGTCGCTTCCAACGGTCCCCGCCACGCGCCCGGCGCGCGCACGCGCACCCACACGCGCGCACTGCCCCCGCGCGCCCGGGCCGCTCCTCACCTCCCGCCGCGCTCGGAAGAACTGCCCCGCACGACTGCCGCAGCGCCGAGGCGGCAGCATTGCGCGTGCGCGGCTCCAGCCCCGCCCCCTCCGGGCGCCAGGGAGCGGGGGGAGTGTGCGAGGCCGGCGGCCGGGCGCAGGCGGCGAGGGAGCGTCGGCAAAGTGCCCGCGCGCAGGGCAGCCGCACGGCCAGAACCGCGGACCCGCCCCAGGGAAGCGCCTGCGCCGTTGCTTTGCTCTTTCCCAAAAAACCTCTCACTGTCCCAGGCGAACTCCTGAGCTGCTCCTCAGCTGGAGGCAGTCAGCAGAGCCAGCCTGACGTTTTCATCGGTGTGTGTGTGTGTGTGTGTGTGACCCGGCCGTGCTGGGAGGCTGATGGCAGACACACGGATCTGCCTTTTTCCCTCAGACTCCCTTGGTTCGGCAGCCAGGAACCGTTTGCCCCCCTGGGTCACCAGTGAAGCGAAGCCAGGCGGTGGAACACATTGCCCACAGCGTGGGTTTAATGGGCCGTGCTGGAAACCGGGCTGGAGGTGTGCATCCCGCGTGCTGTGTGCACAGCTACAAGGACAGCTTTCTCCTTTCCATCACAATCCCAAGCTGAACGCAGCTCCTGAGATAAAGCGATTAACAAGCCCTGTCAGCAGGTGAGCACGTTGCAGAGTCACAGAGCTTTAAGGCATCCCCCTGCTGTCTCACAGCCAGGACCTCAGTTTGGAAGCAGCTTCTTGCTCTCGCAGGAACCCGAAGTGCACACTCACCCCTTCTGCCAAGTGGATTCTCCAGGCCTTTCCTGTGCATTAAACAACACAGTGCGATGTACACAGCTGCACAGAACATTACAATGATACCCCTCTTGCTCCCTCTTTGTTCTGGTAAGTTTAGGGAACTTGAGTTTCTGTTGCATAAGGACACACCAGACTTCTGGGACCCAGCTCCTTGAGGGCATGGTCACACTGCAGCTCAAGCCAGCCCCCAAGACCTCTGCCAGGTACTAAAGGGCCTCACAAGGGGCTTGTGTTTGGGTGCCAACAACCTGGGATGGGTTTCAGCTCAACTGGCAGCTCATGCAGAGTGGATCCCAAAGTCTCTGCTCCCCCTTCCTGCTCTGACAAAAGCAGTGTCCGATGGGCTGGAGCCGAACCTTTGATCTGTGGGAAAGAAGCAGTTGTTATCATTTATTGACTCAAACTCCTCTGAGTCAATAATTTCAGAGACATGCTCTCAGCAGTTACACTGGCAGCTGGCTCAGATCCCACCTAATTCCTGTAGCCTCATTCCCCTCTGACTCAAGAAAATCACAGAATCACAGAAACACCAAAGTTGGAAAAGACCTACAAGATCATCCAGTCCAACCATCCACCGAAACCATGTCCTTCAACACAACGTCCAAACACTCCTTGAACACCTCCAGGGTCCCTGCGCAGCCCATTCCACTGCCTGATTGCTCTTTCAGATAAGTAAATCTCATCTACTTGAGGCAAAGGGATCTGTTCCTAGGACCTTTACTTACAGATGTCAGGAGCCCTTGTAGAGTCTCTTGCAGATTTTTTGTTGTTGTTGTTGATGTTGTTGTTATTTTTTCTTTTATGTAGGAAACTGTGACACTCCCAACTGCTTTTAGAGCACATCTGCATGTCAGTACTAAATCAGCACAAGTGGGAAGGCAGGAAAGGTTGCACTCTGCTTTACCAAGACAAAAGAAAGCCAGAACAGCATTCATCATCATCAGTAATAATCACCATAGCAAAGTCATAACAGTGATACCACTTAACTAAGCAAAGCTGGTGACCTCCCAGTTACTCAAACAATTACTGCTGGTAGAAGAAACCTCACTTGCAATATGGTAATGCAAAACAGCAGAGGTCGAGGAAGTGGTGAAATACATTTGTGTGTGAGGATGTGAAAGACCTAAAACAACCAACTTAAATCAAAGTGAAGATTTCTGCCAAGTGGGCACTGTGGGGCATAGACTGAGGCTGCAGAGCTTGCTCTACCACCAGAACATATGCACTTGGGTCACAGAATCACAGAATGGTTTGGGTTGGAAGAGAGCTTAAAGACCATCCAGTTCCAACTCTCTGTTACGTCCAAGGACACCTTGCACTAGATCAGGTTGCCCAAAGCCCATTTCCAACCCTGCCTTGAACACCTCCAGGGATGAGACAGGGCAGAGAAGATACAAGTGTTGCAACCTCACAATGGCTGTTCTAAAATGGGCTTCAGAAAGACAGAATGCTTCTAGGAAAGCTAGCTGCGAGCAGATCTGAATCCTGGAAAGCAGTGCACAAGCCAAGTCTCTTGTATTTATACTTCCTGGCTCTTTTCTTTGTCTGCTGGCTGACACTTCTTATTCCTCTCATATTCTACAAGGCAGATGCACAAGACTTAGGCAGAATTTATATGTATGCATGTGCATCCCATTACCAACCCATGACAGCACATCTGGGACCAGCCTGCTGCAGCAGTGAGCCGTGGTATGTGTGGTGCTGCACCCACCTCACTCACAAGGAAAAGTGATGTTTCTGCCTTGTGATCCCCTTCCAAGTGTGCCAGCTGGGATGTGGGCTCCTGTGCAAGCCACAGTTGCCATGATTGCAGGGCTTTCTCCAAAGCCATCGTAGTGACAAGGTTCTGATCTTGAGGGGATTTGAATCCCAGTGCCATCCCTCCTGCTTTAGTTGATCCCTTTGAAATAGCAGCAGCTATTATGGAAGCAGTGACTCTCTCCAGTCTTGGCTTGCTTGCCCTCTTGACTCACCAGCTGGACCTTACTGAGATGATCCTCTTGTCACCTAGGAGGACAAATGGGGACAGGAGGAGCAGGAGAACTAGGCTCCATCTCATTGATCAATGCAGAAGAGATGTGCAGAAGGAAGTCCAGCTTCATGTTTCATCCTGTGTGGGGCAGGGACTAGCACCCAGAACACTGTCACGCTGGCACAAGCACACAGTGTGGTTTCCCTTCAGAACTGGTGGGGATACGTGCTCTGTGCACGTAAACGGTGTGTGCCCATCCGTTGGTGTGCCTGCCTGTTTGCGTGTCTGCTTATGTTTCTCCACCTGCCTATTTCTGACTGCTTCTTTATGCCTCTCTGCCTCTCCTTGCCTGTGCGTCTGTGCGCATTTCTCTGCACGTCTGCTCTTCCCTTTGTCTGCCTCTCAGCATGTGTACGTGTGTGTGTGTGAATTTGTCCGTGCCTTTCTGTGTGCCTGTGCAACCACCTGGCTCTTTGTGTGCGTTTGACCGTACCCATCTCTCTGCCCGTGTGTCCGTCCACTCCTACACCCACCCTTCTATGCACTTATCTATTCATCCACCCACCCACCCATCCATGCATCAACCCAACGTTCTATCCCCGCAGCCGCCCGCCGCAGCCTTTCAGCACCACGCCCGGCGGACAGCTCCCGCATCCTCCATTCGCGGCGGCTCCGCAGCAGCACCGCGCCCCACACCGCCCCGCACCGCACCGCCCCTCCCCGCATCCCACCGCTCCGCACCGCATCCCACCGCCCCTCCCCGCATCCCATCGCTCCGCTCCGCACCCCCCCAACGGAGATTTCCGCGCCCCGCCCCCCGCCGCACCGCCGTACATAAGCGCTCCGCCGCCGCCCTGCTCGCTTCGCTCCTCTCCGCCGCAATGAGCTACAGCGTGGAACCGCCGGCGCTGGCCGCCTCCTCCCGCCGCCTGCTCGCCCAGGCCTCGCGGCGCACCGAGGGCGTTGAGCCGCGCCGTGCCAGCGAGAAGGAGCAGCTGCGGGGCCTCAACGAGCGCTTCGCCGGTTACATCGAGCGTGTGCGGGCGCTGGAAGAGCGCAACCGGGCGCTGGCCGGCGAGCTGGCGGAGCTAAGGCGGCTGCCGCCCGAGCCGCGCCGTCTGGGGCAGCTGCTGGGAGGGGAGCTGCGGGCCCTGCGCGCCCGTCTGGAGGAGGCTCACGGCGAGCGGGCGCAGGCCGCGCTGGAGCGGGCGCGGCTGGCCGAGGAGACGCAGCGGCTGCGGGCGCGCTGCGAGGAGGAGGCGCGGGGCCGCGCCGAGGCTGAGCAGGCGTTGCGCGCCCGGCAGCAGGCGGCCGACGGGGCGGCCCGAGACCGCGCCGACCTGGAGCGGCGGGCGGAGGCGCTGCGGGAGGAGCTGGCGGAGCTGCGGCGCGCCCACGCCGAGCAGCTGGCCCAGCTGGGAGCCGCGCTCCGCGCCTCCGCTCCCCCGGCCTCCGGGCCTCCGACGGCGCGGCCCGACCTGGCGGCCGCGCTGCGGGAACTGCGCGCTCAGTACGAGGCGCTGCCGGCCCGCAACCTGCAGGCGGCCGAGGACTGGTACCGCGCCCGCTGCGCCAGCCTCCACGAGCGGGCGGCCCGCAGCCAGGAGGCCGTCCGGGCCAGCCGCCGCGAGGCGGGCGAGTGCCGCCGGCAGCTGCAGGCCCGGGTGGTGGAGATGGAGAGCCTGCGCGGAGCCCACGAGTCCCTCGAGCGGCAGCTGCAGGAGCTGGAGGAAAGGCACAGCGCCGAGGCCGCCGGGCTGCAGGTGAGCGGGTCCCCTCCGTCCCTCGCTGCCCTCCCGAGCGATCTCCCCCATTGCGACTCCTCGCCCCGCCCCGCCCCGCCGCCTTGCGCCCACCCCACGAGGCTGCGGTGCCCCCGCTCTGCGCAGGGCCCCCATCCCTGCAGCCTCCTCCCCGGTGTAGGGCTTCCATATGCCTGGCCATTGCCCGCTGCCTTCACCCTTCCTCCGTACTCGGCACGCTAGGAAGCAGGAAAGGCCTTTTGGAAAGGACAGGCGTGGACACCCCTCTACCAAGCCTATTGTCGCAGGGGACAAAGACCTCTGTGCACACAGCAGTGCTGTTTGGGGACGTGGCCCCACGCCTGTCCCCAAAGTCCGCTGTCGCAGCCCACCACTGTGGGTAATTCCTCGAAGCCCACGGTTGGCCCCTCGCCCCGGGGCCTGGCTCTTGGCACTGGCACTGCAGAACTTGGAGCTCTGCAGACACAAAGGCAGCCAGATCCCAGCATTCTGTGTCCTTGGAAGGATTCATGGGGTGGACACTGAGCACTCTGTATCTTTTATTCCATTAATACAATATGACCCCTTTTTCTTATTACAGAGAAAACATCCGTGGTATAGAACGAAATAAACCCGAGGTTGTTGTATTATATGGCTACTAAGTGATCTCTGATTTCCAAATCAAGCCATTCCCTTATTGATAATGAAACAACAGCCTTACATCATACCTGAGGGCTGCTGCTGTTCCTCTGCCAAGTACTGCTGTGTCATGGAGCCCACATCCAGTCAGGTTCTCTAGAAAGCTGGGTTGCAGCTCTGTGCTGCTTGCAGTCTTGCTGGGTAGTTGGGGCCTTCAACAAATGTTGTAGAAATGGACAATATGCAACATTTCCTGCAGTGGATGAAAGGATTACATGTAATAATGTTCCTGAATAGCCTTAATGCTGAATGAAAAGAATAATTGTGGGGGCAACCTGTCTTTGGAATAAAACTGGAATTAAAAAAAACAGCAACAGTGCAGCTGAGTTAAACAGCACTGTACTTCAAAGTGATTTAGCTGCAGAACAGTGGTTTCTTTCTACATGATCCACAGGCTCTGCTGTGAGTGTGACAGTGCTTGAGAGTTTGTTGCACAGTGTGTCTGATTACAGGCTAAATGATGCTCAGTGCTATGGCAGAGGCAGTGGAAAAGGCTGGCTGTAGGAGATGGGAGCTGGTGTTTGCAGTGGCCACCGCAGGTTCTGCAGGCACTTGCTGCAAACTGCTTACTCATTGCCCAGGCACATCATGCAGCCTCAGTGGCACAGCAGGACATCCAACATGGGAAAGCATTTGGCCTGGAAAGATCCCCCATGGGAGTGAGTTTTGCTGCTTTCAGGCCAGCAGCTCAGGGGATTTGCCAGGAAGGATTGGGTCTTCCTCTCCTGGTGCAAGCTTTTCCCTCCCATTGCCCTGCAGCTGTGACCCAGCCACCCACTGCGTGCTCTTCTGGTCCCACTGAACCCCATACTTGCTCTGATGGTGTTTAAGCCTATTGAATATATAAAACCATCAGTGTTTAAAGCCCCTTCCCACTGCATGCTGTTACAAGCTGTACCCAGCACTCTGCCTGCTTCTCCATCCCTGTTAGCACCCAAGCCCCTGTTTGGGATGTGCAGACAGAACAGCTGTGGGGAAAAAAAAAACAAAACTAAAACAGAGTCCTGAGAACCTTTGTCATTGCCTCCCTGCAGGACACCATTGGGCAGCTGGAGGCTGACCTGCGCAACACTAAAACCGAGATGGCTCGGCACCTGAGGGAGTACCAGGACCTGCTGAATGTCAAGATGGCCCTGGATATCGAGATCGCTGCCTACAGGTAGGCTGCTCTGGCCCTGCCTGAGCCCAATCCAACACCCTGCCCCATGCTGCCAAGCCTGGCACCAAAATCAGACCTGGGTCTGTTTTCATCCAAATCAGCTGCATCCTGGTGCTGTGATGGTGTCTTGTGAGGTGACCCCCACCTAAACCCCTTTGCTTGTGCTGTGCTTGCAGGAAGCTGCTGGAGGGAGAGGAAAACCTGTTCAGCATGGGGAGTGTTGGCCTTCCAGCCATGAACCCCCTCCCCAACCCCACCTACTCTTTCCAGCCACGCTCCTCCACTCCATCCTTCAAGAAAGAGGAGCAAAGAGAGGCGATTAGAGCGACCTCCAAGATACCATCCGGTCAGGCTGGGATGCTTGACGGGACCATAACCACTGCCAAGAAAACGGAGAGATTCAATGTGCATGGAGGAATCATTGCAAATGCTAAAGTGTAATGGTGGGGATCCCATCCCTTTTGCACTTGGGGGGGAGCAGTCTTCAGTTGGCCCTTTAATTGCCTCTTGGGCACTGGGTTGTGCTCAGCAGCTCTGGTTACAAGGTCCCTTGTAGGGTCAGGGCTCAGCAGCCTCTGGCAAAGCAAGGGCCAAGCTCAGCACACTGCTCCCTCTCAAGTCAGGTGGCGGCCACATGGGTCGCTGGGTGCATGCTGGTGGGTGTTGTGGATGCACGGGGATTTGTGGCAGCGAGGAAGGGACTCACTGCAATTTGGGGAGGGGGTGGCGAGGGCAATGGAACTCAACTACAACTAGGGTTAAGGCTACAGCCCTTCACCTACTGTCCAAATCCACGTGTAGCTAAAGCGTTTCCTCTTCTTCAAGTGTAGCCATCCACTTTTAACTCAGAAGCACAGAAATAGCCATAAACACACCTTGCTTCTGGTCTGTGAGCCACTTATATTTTAAACTGTAAGGAATGTCTTTTTTTTTTTTTGTTCTGACAACTCTTTCTGTTTCTCAGTAGCGTTAGTCCGGCCACATGCATGGGGTTTGTTGGTTGGGAACCAACACCCAGTGCCCATTTCCACGTACAGCAGGGAGGGCTGGGTGCTGCCAAATGCCACATCCACACTTGAGCTCCAGCCTTCCAACATGTGCCAAATCTGATGTAGGATTTACAACTGTAGGTTTCTTTCAATGCCTTAAAATTGCCAGCTTCTGCAAGAGCCAGAGACTGTGTGTGTGTGTGTGTGTGCTACATGTCGGTGCCTGGGCGAGTTTGCCATCACAAGACCTTACTGCCCTCTCAGTGTTGCCAGAGTAGTTCCTGGAACCAGCAAACTGTTCACTCACACTTTTTCCTCTTCTACTGTATGGCACAAGTTAATAATTAAAAAGAAAGAAAGAGTTACATGAACCAAATAAAGCTCTTCTGTCTTCTTTCCTCCCGCTCCACGTGGTGTGCAGCACCCTTAATAATAGAAACATTAAGGTTGCAAAAGACCACTAAGATCATCCAGTCCAACCCCAGCCCATCCCCACCATGCCCACTAACCACATCCCTCAGTGCTACATCTCCACAGTTCCTGAACACCCCCATGGATGGTGACCCCACCACCTCCCTGGGCAGCCTATGCCAATGCCTCCCCACTCTTTCTGAGGAAAAATCTTTCCTATCAACCTGAACCTCCCTGGCACAGTTTGAGGCCATTCCCTGTTCTGTCACTAGTTACCCAGGAGATAGTCATGATCAAGGATATCCTGTCCATGATGGTTTCAGTGATGGACCCCACGGCCAAGGTCTCACAAAGGCCGGCAGACAAGACAGAACTTTATGACAGGGAAAACCCCATAAAGCTGCTCCTGTCATTGGGTTGAGACTCTCTGGAGGCAGGGCTGGCACTGCTGAAGGCCATGGGATGTGTACTGATCTCATCCCAAGGTGTCCACCGCAGTAGCCACACTTCGTGGAGTTTGTAGCTGCCCAGTCAGGGAGAAAGGCCTCCCATGGCAGGGATTGCCCTTGCTTGCCCCAAAAATGATCTCTGAGGCTGTAGATTGTACCACAAGATGGCTGGTTGTGCCTCCTCTGTACACTCAGGGGTTACAAACGGCTTGTGTTTGCACGCCCAATCGAAGGTGACACAATCTATGCCTGGGCAAGGCTAACAGAAGAGCAGAGGGTGTACCCATCTCCCAAACAAACCTCGTCAGAGCAGGGACAGGGCTGCCAGCAGGGCCCTGCAGGTAGCAGCACAGGAGGCAGTGTCCCACTGGTGGCCCTGCTGCAGTGGGGTGTCCCAGGTCTTTCCCTTCTTGCCACCTCAGAGCCTGCCTCAGCATCCCAGAGACACAGGGATGTCTGACGGTCACCAGCATCCTTGTGGGCCAGCAGGCACAGGGAGAAGAGCAGATGGGATCAGGCAGCTGATACAATAAAAATCTGAAAGCGCAGCTTTGTGCCCATCCCTTGAGTACGAAGGGACTGACCTGTCCTTTATTCCAAGCCTTGGTCCAGCTCCCTGCCTGCATGCTACCAACAAAGCTGGGATTTACTTTGGTAGTAATGATGTGGAAGGCCTGCATTCATGGAGGAGAACAAAGGAGCCTGGGGGAGGACAAGGCATTGCTATGGAGCCAGATGCAGCTCTTTGTAAAGGGGCTGCAGTGGAGATTTCCTGCATTTCCAGATCTCTGAGAAGGTTGTGGTGCTGGAATAGAGCTTCTGCTGTGGCCCAGTCTTTTTTACTGGGTTAAACACTCAGGCTGCTGGAAGAACACTGCAGCTGCTTAAAAGATTTATACCTCTGCAAAGCCACGACCTCTCAATAAAAGGCAGCTGCAGACACTGACTGCACCACCGGCCTGGGAAGCAGCACTGAATGGCTGTTCTTCTGTCACGCTGCCTTGCCTTTATCTTTATGCTGGGGAGAATGTCAGCCCCCATGCAGGGGTGCAAGCTCCTGCCAAATGCCTGGGTGACTGCATTTTCCTGGAAGAAAACACTGGCCTTGCAGCTGCGCTCTGTGGCTTACTGTCTCCGCTCATTTCATTTCCATGAGGATGAGATGGGACAGCTCATGCAGCTTGGGGTAGGTCTGGGTCATATTCCTACTGCTTCAGTGATGGAAAGAGATTGTTTCCATCAGGATCTCGGATTCAGGATCCCTTCAGCACCACTGGAGGTTCTGCAGTAACTGTGCTGAGATGTACAGTGCCTTAAAAGCTGAGAGAACCACTACGCACAAGGAGCAGTTTTGTCAGTTACACTTGTTTGGATGCTGGAATCCATTAAGGATTAAGCCAAAGGAAAACAAGCCAAGGAAAACCCAACAAACATTTGCATTCCTACAAAGGGAAAACACCTCCATTTTGAGGCTGGGGAAGAAGCCTATTATTCTGCAAGAAAGAATCAATGGCAATTTAGAGAAAAGCCTCTTCTGGCAGCGAGGGCTGGATCTGTCCCATTCTCTTCTTGCCAGCTCTTTAGCAGAGACCTTTGCAAAAAAGAGCTTCATCCTCAAATGAGTTACCTACATACAGCCCTTAATGCCAGCAGCCAGAGCAATCAGGTGTCCACATCAGTGGGACCTGACTCTTTGAATTCAAGTTAATACTCTAACAGCATAAGCAGTACAAGCCTAGCTAAAGCAGAGGGGAACCTGAAATAGGCCTCCTAGCTACTTATTTTTTCAATCCAGCTGATTACTTTTGATGAAACTCTCCACGGATGGATCTATCTACTTACAGCTGGAACAACCTGTAGCATGGAACAAATTCAGCCCCTATGTTTATCATTTGACAAAATTTCAAAGACTATGTCAGAAGAAAAATACTTATTTTGGTAATAGGTACTGTTACCAGTGCTGCTATACATGCATTTACAAAGAGGACCACAGCAGCATCCTGCCAACTGCCTGCCCTTACATACCCAGCAGAGCATGGAGGATGTTAGGATTCCTGCCCAGGGAATTCCTACCTCTCAGTCTCCATTGTACACAATAAAGGACCACCTCCAGAAAAGCATACTGCAAGCAGCAGGCTCTGAGCATGTTGTGGTATCATGGAACTGCTTGGTGCCTTCTCAGCAAGGCATGGGAAGGGTTACAAAGCAACTCCCCCAAGAACATGTTATTTTCTTCATAATCTCTGCCAAATCCTCACCATCCTCTTTTCCAGTGGTAATGTTTCCCTTGGAAGAAAACAGACGTTCTAAGCTTTACATTTCCAAATTGATTATTTTTTATCAAGCAAGTAGAAAATACAAGATCTCCCTTCCACGTGGGGAAATGTTTCTTTTTGCAGATCACTACTGCTTTGACACAAATATATCCTCATACTAAATCAAAACACAATAAAGATGGTGATACAGCCTCACAAGAATTCTGCAGCCGCAGGGCAGTATATCAGTCTCGTATTTCACATCAGGGTCTACTGTTCATCTCTCAAAAAACAACAGAATTAGACCAGCTGACCTGCATCTATAGCCCCTTTCTGAAACTTAAGCAAAATTTGCTGGCTCATTCAGGAGAGATCCCAAAGATGACCTGCAAAATTCAACTTACAACCACCTTTCTTCTCTTTGTGTTGAAATGGTTACAGAAAAAAGTAGTAGGGAAAAAAAAAAAAAAAAAAAGAGCTAGTGATGAGAAGGTACTGTTTGCAACATTCTCCATTTCCCAGAAGTATCCATCACAGCAGTACAACAGCATTTTAAACATAAACACTCAGGTTGGCACCTGGTAATCTCTCTCTGTTGAGACTTGTGTGGATAACCTCACCCTCCTCCCTTCAAAACAAAAGATAATACACAATAACAGGCAGCTTGAAGGATTTTTCAGTGAAACTCGTTGGCTGCTCCATATCTTCGGAAACAAGTGCTAAGGCGCTTCCTGGCTTCCTCATTGCTTTGCTTGTGGCAGCACAATTCAGGTCCGAGTGTAACAGCAACATTAAGAAAATAAATCATATTTATACATCACCATCACAATCTCTCCATTTTAAAGGCAGCTCAGCTGCAAATTTTATTAGTCTCCTGAAACTTACCTTATTACACTAAATCCAGATTAAACACAAGGAAAACAGAACCTACGTGGCTCAGTGCTCATGACTTGACCATAGCTTGACTGCATTTATGAGAGCTCCTGACACTACAGCTCATGGTCTTCTCCTGCTAGGAGTCAGCAGAACTGTAAGCTCAGAATTAGCCATGTCATCTCTAAATAGGTAACCATAAAATAAGACCAGAATTATTTCATCATGCAATGAAACGATATAGTGTCTGTAAATCAATGCACAAGTCCAAGCCCACATTCTCTCACTTACTGAGCACAAGGCTGGCTCCTCTCCCACAAGGGCAGAGATGCCATCCCATAGGCAGCCTGCTGTTACAGAAGCAATTCTATCATCAGAAGCACTAGCGGCTGGAGGAAAGCCAAGGTTAAAAGGAGACCAACAGAAATAAAACAGCAGTAGCAGAGCTGGAAGAAGATTGGCACATTTTTAAGCAAGCGGGCTGATTGTGCAGGAAACTGCACAGCCCACATTTCAGCCTTGACAATTGTCAAAGGTCACCCCCACTGCATGCTGGTGTGCCATGCAGAGCCCCAGGGGGTGCAGCAGGAGCTGGAGAGCAGATAAAGCATCAGTGCCTTGAGGGTACACTGTAAGGTAGAAGAAAGCAGAATGTTCAGCCAAAACAACTTTGCTAAGAATATGCTGTATGGAGGCAGCTGAGGAAGAAAAAGAAAGAAGCAGACAATAAATTATTGGGAAATAAAACATCACTAAGGGCTCACACAAAATATTCCAGGCAACATTTCTGTTTTTGAAAGCAGTTTTATGCATTCTACCTGTAGTTCTTCTATCATTAAGCAACTGGAAGATTGAAAAGTCTTGACTTTTTCCTTTTAAGTGGTATGTGGTTTACTTTATGGATAAACTCTGTAAAGATACTGCAGAGACCTCTGATACTGTTACTGCTTAAATCAGAACAGTAATAATTTAGCAGATGGTTTAGCTAGCTTATGCAAAAGTCAGCACTGTCCTAGACAGACATAAATTTGAATTAACTATCAGCTTCTGTATGGCTGTTAAACTCTGCCAAGTCCTTTGGTAGGCATGAAGTTTGAGCCTGGACTAGGGAAGAATTTGCAACGTAAAACGCAACTATAATAGACCTACAGATAGAAAACAAAACTGTAAGTAGTGATGAAACAAGAAGTGGC